GAATTGGATGTTTCAAGGACAGAAGATGAAGGGTTAAAGAGAAATCAGAGACAGGTGTGGGTAGGGCAAAGAGGACTTTTCAAATCCGAAATAATTATTTGGCATAGATGTTGAGGGGTTAGACCCTTTGAATCTAGAACAATCTGGGGATGTCTATGACCTGGGCATAGTGACTGGGGAAACACCCTGAGGCACTGTGGGACTTGCATAATTAAAGTTCCTTCTGTTGATAGATAAGGCGCTACAACTTAGATGGCCTGGAGTCATCTAATTTTTTTCTCTCAAGTACAAAATGTTAGCCTCATTTTATAAATACGTGAATTGTGTCCAAGATCACACAGCTAGTACAGGAATGGGTCTGAACAAGAAAACATGGATTCCAGCTCCAGCCCATTTTCGTAGCCACCATGTCATAAGCCTTCCCCAGTCTGGCTGATTTCAGAGCCAATTTTCCCCTCTACCAGGATGTTACCTAGCTGACCAGGATCCTTTGTTTGCCACCCTCTGACCACCTGTGTATTCCTGGAGCCTCCTGCCCTCTCTGGGTCTGTTTCCTGTTCTGTTCATGGGGAACTCAGGACTTTCTCCACTGACACAGAACAGGCAGAGGCAGAGGGGTGTCCCCAGACCTAGGAAATCCCAGGCTCCTGGCCCATTACCCTCAGCGAATATGCAGGAAGGACAAAGAGAGCAGGAGAGAGCCCTGCAGGGGCACTCCTGGGGGAACTCCTACCACAGACAGGTGTCAGGGCCCCTCCCACAACTCAGGGTGTCAACAACCCACCCCCACCCCCCACCCCCACACACACTCTGCTTGCACATGAGGCAAGTGTAGGAATCCTTTCTTGCCCTCTGACCTTCCCCATCTCCTACCCTGCCCCAGCTAGTCTGGCCCATATGCAAGCAAGGGAAACTATATCCAAAAATATTCAGACCTGCCAACCTGCTCCATGGACACAGTCACCAGCACCTCAACACGTCTAAAGTCAGACCACCAGATTCCTCCTTCCCTCCTTGCCCGCTCCTCCCCTATGCTGCTGTCTTGCTAAGCGACACCACCATCTGCCCTCTGACACATCGTGTCATGCCATGCTACCCCTGATTGTCCCTTCCCCTATACCTGCACCCCCATGGCCAGTCACCATTGATTCCATTTGCCAAACCTCTCTCAGCCCACCTCATCCATCCTCTGTGGCTGCTGCCTCAGCCCCAGCCTCCCTCATTTCTACCTGGATAACCCTTTCCCTGCGTCCCATCCCACCCCACTTCACCCTCACATGCTGAGGGTGGCTGAGAGGTTTTCCTAACCCCCGACATGACCTGCCTTTTGCCTCTAGCCCTTTGCCCACCTGGCTCCCCCTGTCTGGAACCCTCCCCCAGCTGGGCGCTTCACAGCACTCTCACACCCAACCCCCTGGCTACATTATTGAGGGGCCTAGCGCAAATCAAAGTGTGGGACCCCATGTACTAAATGTAGGAAATAAGTACCGCTCAAAGTACAAAGTACAAAGCCTTTCCCTTTCAGGCTCTTTCTCAACCTGCTATGGAGTGTTTCCATCCCCTGTCTGAAGCTGTGCAGGGCAAGTGCACCCCAGCCTGGGCACCTGCTGCCAACTTCCCCACCCTCACCATGGACAGCTGATATCCTGTAGCCTGGGCAGAGGCATAGAAGTGGAGCCAGGGACCCCACCACACAGAGCCCACCCTAACCCACAGTAGGCAGGCTGCACTCAGGGGTATTGTGACCTCCATCCTGTGAGAGAGTCTAAGGACCCGCAGAGCGGGTGGGTCTTGAGGCTCAGCCTTGCAGGGTCACCCAGTGAGTGGACTGTGGCACTATCAGCCAGGATGGGGACAACTGGAGCCATGCAGTTTCCTGAGACATCAAAGGGCCCATGAACTCAACTCTGACCTTCCCTCCTTTTTCACCCAGGCCCCTGCCAGGTGGCCCAGGGCACCAAGGGGCAAAGAATCAAGCTGAGAGCTTGTCCTTTGAGGTAGGGAGAGGAAAGAAGGCAGGACCTCCTATGAGTCAAGTCTCTGAGCTCCTGGTGCACGTGCCATTGTCTCAAGGGACTTCACTTATAAAATATAAATTCAAAGGTAAAATCAATGAAAATTTCAATACTGCAACCACAGAGCATCAAACCCCAAACATAGAGCCCTTCTGAGCTTTTGGCCTGTGGGATTGCACAGGTCACATGCCCATGAGCTGGCCCTGTCCTCATCCTCAGGTCTCAGGTTAATCACCCCATCCTGGGAAGCCTCCCTGACCCCAAGTCTACCTTAGGTTCTCTTCCATTGTGCTAGTAGAATGTCCCCAAATCTTGCACATTTCCCACTTCAACTATTTTAATTGGTTTAATTATAATTACTGTTTAATTGGTTTAATTAATTAAGCTCTGTGAAGATGGAAATTATATCTATTTGGTTCACAATTATACCCCCACTGTGCGCCAGGGATATGATATGTATTAAATAAATATTTATTATATGAATGACAAAGTTAATACAGAACTGGTAACTCAGTGCCTGTAGTCGCAGCTGCTTGGGAGGCTGAGGCAAGAGAATTGCTTGAGCATTTGAAGTTGCTGTGAGCTGTGACACCACAGCACTCTACTCAGGGTGACAAAATGAGACTCTGTCTCAAATAAAAGAATACAGAACTGGGGCAGCACCTGTGGCTCAGTGGGTAGGGCACCGGCCCCATATACCAAGGGTTGTGTGTTCAAACCTGGCCCCAGCCAAACTGCAACAAAAAAATGGCCAAGCATTGTGGCGGGCAGCTGTAGTCCCAGCTACTTGGGAGGCTGAGGCAGGAGAATCGCCTAGACCCAGGAGTTGGAGGTTGCTACGGGCTGTGTGACGCCACGGCACTCTACTGTGGGTGATAAAATGAGACTCTGTCTCTAAACAAAACAAAACAGAACTGGTCCTTAGACCTCTCTTCTTAAAAACTGTGGATCAGGATGGGATAGGGTAATGAGGGAGTGGGAAGAGGGGAGGAAGGAGAGGGATGGGGGTTCACGAGTATGGCACACCTTTGGGGTGGGACATAATTATAAGAGGGATATATCTAACAAATGCAATCAGTGTAACTAATTCTTTGTGCTTTCAATGAATCCTAAACAATAAAAAAAAAAACCTGGATTATTTTGGAAAACTGGAAAGTCCTCAACCTTTCTCTGATATTTACCCTAAGTATCTCTTAGGGTAGGAGAGAGATACTATCTCTTGTGCTGAGTTTTATAGAGATGAGCACATATTGACAGGAAGGAGTGAGGAAGCCTCACATAGAAGCTGCGGGGGTAACCTTGGGTATCACCTACTCTTTCTGGGCTTCCCAATACAGGGTCCCTTACTGAACAGCACTTTCCCATAAGCTTTGACATGCCCGGGGACATTTACTGCTTTGGAAACGTTTCTGGTCAGGTTTCCCTCATCCAGGACACTCATAATCCTATATCTGTGAGCTCTAGACTTCACCCAAGGCTTTGCAACTCCAGCTCACAAACTAAAGGAAAACACACAGGACCATGGGGAAAATTTAGGGCAGCCATTTTTTTTTTTTTTTAGGGCAGCCATTTTTTTTCAAGATGGAAGATGATGTAACCACTAAGATGTCGTTTAATATCCTCCAAGGAAGGCAGAGTTTCTTGCAAATGGAGTCAGCTTTAAAGGAACACAAATGGAATCAAGACCCCCAAATATAAAATCCTGAAGGGTAGGGTGGACCCAGAGCCCTCCCTACATTCAGACAGAGAGAACCAAGCCCTCGAAGGCCTAGGCTCCATGAAATGCCTTCCCTGTCAGCAAAGGTTGCATTGGTCCTACCCACATTCAATCCCACTCTCCCTCCACATTCGGGAGCTCAGAGTTTTTTCCATTCATAGCAACCACACATTTAGAATCCTAGCTGCTCACCAACTCAAGATAGATCCCCATGGAAACCAGCATAAAGGGGAGGCAGAGATAAATAACCTCTCATTCAGTCCCTGGATGCATGCAAGGCCTCCTCCCTTCCCACCCTTGCAGTTAAGTGCCCAGAAAAGCTCTGTTGAATTTAATATATCCATTTTCCTGACTATGGAGCCTGGCAATAAGTGCCTGAGGCCACTGTTTCTAAGAGGACTTCCCCTAGAAGGCCTTCTACTATCAACCACCACCTTGGCAACTCAGGCTGGGTAAGAGCAGGTTCTAAAGTTAGAGAGATCAAGATGGAAGCCCCACCACAAGGCTTAGATGTAGGGTGACCCTAAGCAAAATACCTCAACTCTCTGGGCCTCAGTTTTCTTGTCTTTTAAATTGGTCTAATGTTATTTACCCCACAGTGGTAGTTATGGGGGTTAACTAACATAAAAATGTAAAGTATTTAGCACAGAGCCTGGCACTTAATAAGTGCTTAATAAATGTTAACCATTTTTATTATTAATTAGCTATTGGATAAGTCAGTCCCTTAATCTCCCTAGGTCCCAATTTTGTCATCTGTAAGACAAAGTGAGGTGGGGATGAAGTAGGACAACCCAGTTCTTGAAAATCCCTTCCACCTCAGACGTTTTATGAGTCTACACATGTGTTATTGGTGGAAGGCTGAGGAGAAAGTGGTATTACAGAGCTCTAAACATTTTCTGTCTTCGGAGTCTTCTATCAAACTCTTCCACGAAGGCAAGCTAGTGGTCCCAAGTTTCTTCTGGATGGTATCCAGGGAAGGGGAACTAGCAGTCAACCTCCGTGGCTCACCAGCTGACCTTACTAAGCTACAATTTTCACATCTGTCAAGTGGGACTACTTCGTGGGGTTGTGAGGATTAGATGAGTTTCCCTTTGTAAGCTATTTAGCACAGTGCCTGGACACACCAAGCACTTGCTCAGTGCTGGCTGATAATGCTACAGAATCTGGAATATATGGGTTTACCCTGAAAGGCTGTGGTGCCACTCAGCCAGCCCTGCAGGTGCTTAAAAGGCAGGGCCTGCCCCGGGCCTGCGTCTGCAGCCTCTTACCAGTCCAATGTTGAGAGAGTTGTTGTCATCTTCAGGCATGGGCAGGTACACAGCCAGGGCCACACAGTTGGCAAAGATAGTGAGCAAGATGATTGTCTCGAAGGGTCTGGTGTCAGGGTTAAGGAGAGCCTTCGACTGAGGCGTGGGATTTGCAGGGTTAAGGGGAAGAAAGTGCTGAGAGTCAGTCTGGACTCTGATGCCAGGCTGATGGGCAGGCTCCTGGCACTCTGCCCAGGCTGCTAGTTCCCTATGCTCCCACAGGGGACAGACAGGACCAGGCTCTCACCTGGAGATCTGGTCCCTCTCCTTGGGAGAAGGTAACCAGGACTCTTTGGGATTGCAAAGGCCTAGTACCTGGCTCAGATCTCCTCAGCTCTTAAAGTCCAGGTTGTCTGGACACCCCTCTACTCTAAGTGCCTGCCCACACCCTTTGCCCACTTTCAAATAGCCACTACTTCCTGAGATTCTAGTCAGGAAAAGCCCCAGGGGGGCTCACCAAAAAGAGGGAGACTGGAGGGTGACACAGGTTAAGGCTAGGTACCCACAGAGCAGGGCTGGGAATGAAGGACAACAGAAAGGTGAAGCCTGAATGTCCAGAACTATGCACACATGCTGGTGTGCACTTGCTCAGAGCAACTCACCCGCACCCCTCCCCAGACATACCCACCCCTCCATAGCCATTTCCAGAGGGTGCTGCAAGCCCATGACTTTCTTGACCTGCTGATCCATTACAAAGTGAGTATGGCAGGAGCTCAGCAAATCAGGGAGGGGGCACAGGCCCGTGTGTGTGTGTGTGTGTGTGTGTGTGTGTGTGTGGTGCAGGCAGGCAGGCTATGTAGATGGGCCTGACTGAAAAATCCCATTCCCAGGTGGCACCCATAGCTTAGTCGTTAGGGTGCAGGCTACATATACTAGAGCTGGCAGGTTTGAACCCGGCCAGGGCCAGCTAGGAAGCAATGACAACTGTAATAAAAAAAATAGCCAGGCATTGCAGCGGGGCACCTGTAGTCCCAGCTACTTGGGAGGCTGAAGCAAGAGAATCGCTTAGGCCCAAGAGTTTGAGGTTGCTGTGAGCTGTGACACCATGGGATTCTACCATGGGTGACATAGTGAGACTCTGTTTCAAAAAAAAAAAAAAAAATCCCATTCCCTTTCCAGTGTCTTCCAGTGTTAGAGAAGAGAGGATGGTCCCGGGGGCAAGGAGCCCCCTTCTCCTAGTAGGAGAAGGCCTGGATGAACAGAGGATGGAGGAAGGGAGAACTCAAGGGGTAAAACCTGATCTGACAGAGAGAGGCAGAAAGGGAGAGGCCAGGGAGGGCTTGACGTGGCCTGATTGAGAGCAGCTGTGGGGAGCCACACAAACCCTGACCCCAAATCATCTCCATTTGGCCCCAAGTTTCTCTGGTCCTTCCAGGGAACAGGTGGTGGGAGCCCAGGCTTCCGGAACTTTTCAGGAATATTTCAAATATTCCTGACCCTCACCCTCAGAACACATTAGATACAGGCCTCCCCTCCCTTCTGGAGCTCCTTCCTCCCTTCCCCAAATAACTAAGATATTTTCATCAGTCTTCTTCCCAGAGCTAATGCGAATACACCAAGGGATTGGAAACCCTTGTCCCCGCGGTGGTCTGTCTCAGCTAAAACAGCCAGGGCAAGTGGGTCTGTCTGGGGCCGCTCAGGGCAGGATCTTCCCTCTGGCCTATTCCTCCCCAGCTCTGTGCCCTACTGAGACTTACCCCCTGTGGAAACCTTCCCTTTACTGTCACCCTCAACCCCAGGCAAGCAAGGATTTTCTCAAAGATGCCACCACTGCTTCTTTTTTTTCTTGTCCCACCGTATTTCAAAATGAGATTTTTGCTTCAAAAACCTAAGTGACACCTATGATAGTGTGGATTTTGGGCACCCTTGGGAACAGTCCCCATGAAACAAAGCTCTTCCACAGATGATCAGTGGGCATCTCGGGTTGTTGCCCAAGACTCCAGTTGTCCACTTAGGCCCCAAGAAGCCCCATCAATTCCTCTTCCTTCTCCTCCTCCTCCTCCTCCTCTCCTCCTTAGTTGAGGGCCCCATCCCAAAGACTCCTCTTGCCACTCTGTAGTTCACCCCATTTTCAAGTCCCCCATCCTGGCCCTCAAAGTGTGTGCTCTGACCACCCCCGCATCCCTCCCCAACATCACACACGCTGACCAGGGCCCTGAAGGATACTTCCATTCCACGATGCTGATGCAGGCCTTCCTCAGGGGGTTCTGCAGGGTCAGGCAGAACAAGGCCCGGGGTGGCCTTGGCAGGATTTCGGGAACCGACTTCTTGGACTGTTTCTTCCTCAGGCCCTCGTCCTGGGGTGAAGACGGCTCCATGCCTTCCCTGGCACCCTAGCTTTCTCCTGCTCCCCCACCCCACTGTCCTCTCTTCCCTGTGTCCCCAGTGCCCCCACCCTGGGGACTGGGTCGGCTGAGCCTGTTGGGCTAAGGCTGCCCTGCTGAGCCAGACAGGGCAGGGGCGGGAGTGGGGGCAGGATGATTACTCTCACTGCTCCCAGGGAGTAAAATTAGCCTCCACTCAGCTCCCTTCTGCCCAGCGAAGCTCCTAAGGCCAGGCAGCTGTCATTCCATCCACCCCAGCCAGTGACATCCCAATCTGTCCCCTGAGGAGGGTGTGGAGGGGTGGGAGGAGAAACTTACACACAGGCGTAGGGTGGGGCTGGGGCAGTTGGAGACAGGATAGAAGGTTGCAAGGTTAGGGCAGTAGGGTTTAGGAAGGGTACCCTGTGATATTGAACTTCCAACTGGCTTCCTCACACAGCCAAGCTCAGCTTCACAGCACCCCCACCTACCTCAGTACCTGCTAGATCAGGCCAAGATTCCTCCCACCCTCACCCACTAATGTCAAGGGAACAGTAACCCTCTCCCCATGAGGATGGAAGGCTCTGGGAGCAATCTTGACTGCGCACACCTCTGACATAGCACCTCATATCCCGGCTGCAAGTGACCTGGTCTGGGAGTGAGAATGAGAAAGGGGCACCAGGGTGGATGAGGGTGGACAGTGATGTGCAAATGAAAAAACTCAACAATGCTTTTATTTGGTGCAACCACAGTGCCAGTGTACCCCAACCCTCCCTGCCCCTCCCCCTCACCTCAGGCTTACAAGCTGAGGGGAATAAAACGCAGTCCCTACCCAACTTCAGAAAAAACAAGAAGGACTCATGGAGGCACGAGGGAGAGGGTAATCACCCTCCATCAAGGAAGCCAGAGAGTACCAGCCAGTATCACAGGGTACCCTTCCTAAACCCTACTGCCCTAAACTCGCTGCCTCTTCCTATGTCATTCCATCGGGCTGAGCACAAGCAGGAGTGTGGCCTCCCATCCCGTCCTCTGAGTTCCTCCCAAGAGGGGCAAGCGAGCTCCTAAAGAAGCTCCTAAAGAAGTCGCTAGTATTTGAGGCCATCTCGTGGAGAGCTGGGAGAGACCAGCAGAGACAAAACTGTCCCCAAAACGAGGGAGGGCAGAGCCACCTGAAAGGGAAAGGGAGCGTCTGGGGCTGTTCCGCTGCAGCCCGGAGGGGGCGAAGCGTGCACCCACAGCTGTCCCAGGCCCTGTCACTCTCTGTGCCCACTGACCTCCTCCAGTCACTATCGTGCCCCTCATATGCTCGGCCCTGAACCTCTGTCCCAAGCTGGTGGAGGGAAGAGGGTGTCACACACACTGGAACACTGCAGACCTTCCAGTGTTAGGAGCCTGCGCCGGACCGCGGGTGACCAAGAAGCCCCACGTTGCTCCCGGTCCCACTCCTGGATCCCCCAAGCCGGGGTCAGCCACGGGCCTGATCAATGGCTGGATTCCTCCGACTCAAAGAAAGGCGAGGAGGAGAAACAGGAGGACTCGGACGACTCGGGCACCAGGGTGGGGGGCGCCTGGGCCTCGCCGTCGCTGTGGCCGGGGCAGTCGGGTCGGGAGGCGGGAGGCGCGGGGAAGGGCAAGGCGCCGGGGAGGCCGCGGGCGGCTGGGGGCTGCGCGCCGTCTGGGGCGGCGCTCAGCAGCTCCTGCAGGTACTTGATGTAGCGGATGGCGGCGCGCAGCGTTTCCACCTTGCTGAGCCGCTTCTCCGCCAGGGCGCCGGGGAGGTGGCCGCGGAGGCGCGCGTAACCCTCGTTGACGCACTTGACACGCTGGCGCTCGCGCTCGTTGCGCTTCTGAATGAAGGCGGGCTCGAAGGGGTAGTCGTAGACCCCGAAGGCGCCGGGAAACGGCACGTAGGGGAACACCCCAGCGTAGGCGTCGTAGTAGGGCAGCTCCGGGTGGCCAGGGTACAGGAGGAAGGGCATGTTGCCCAGTGGCTTGGTCGGGGGCAGGGGCGTCTGCCGGGGAGGGGTCGCGACGGCCAGCTGCATACAGCTGGGAGGGCCCATGGGCCTCCGCTCCATCAGGGTCCGGCAGAAGTTATTGTTCATGGCGCCCAGTGGAGCTGGACTCAGAGTGACCCTCACCGAATGGCCCTTGTTGGGGTCTACACGGTCCCTGACTACAGGGGCAAGTCACATCGCCAGCAGGGCCTTGCTAGGGCCAGGACTTGCTAAGGCCTCCTTTCTCCTTTTAGGGTGGCTTTCAAGGACTCTCTAACGTGAACCATAGCCCTGGACAAGTGTGGCTCCTCGCAGAGGCCGGACGAGTACCTTCTCAAATCCAGCCCGTGGCGCAGCGAAACTCCGAGGGCGCTCACCCTCCTCCACGGGACCCATGAGCAGGCCAGCAGACCTGCGCACCCTGCCTCCTCCTGCAGCCCAGCTCCAGGGCACTAACCCCCAGGCTCCATGGCGAGGTGGGGAGCAGCTACTGAGCCTTATTCCTGGTGGTCTTTGGGATTCCCAGGCTGTCCCCAGCGCCCACACTGACGGCTGCTGTTAGGAGTGCTCCAGCTCAGCAGAGTCCAGAGGAACGTTTCTAAAGAAGAGGAAAGTGAAAATATCAATTAGGAAAGGCCTGTATTATAGGTTTCTTTGTGTCACTCCCACCCTCAAACGGGATCGTCCATTTCATTGGGTAGATAAGACAGTGTGGCTGCTGAAGAAGTGTAGATCTGGGATGAAAATCTTGTGTTCACACTTTAATGGTTGCCTGACTACCTTATGTTATGGTTTCCATATGTGGACATAGTAAAAATTCCCTTGACAGGAGGTTAATAGAATATGAGAAACACCTCCTACACGGCCTAGCTTATTAAAATGCCTAATGTCACTTCCTCTGAGAGTGGGAATTAAGTCTCTTCACTGACATCTTCCCCCGGCTTTCCATCTAAAAGGGGCTCAGAGTCTGCCCATTGAATCAGCAGTAGGAATCCCAGCAGCAACCACCAGTCAACCAAGTCTAACTCTTTATTGAAGGGAAATGCATCTTTGACAGGAAGCTCAGGTGTTGTTGGGATGTACAAAGCCTAGCAGAGGCAATGTGAGGCTGTGAACACTGGGCAAGGCCTCTCCAAGAGACAGGGAGGGGCCAGCTCTTTCCCTGATAGGGGGTGATCAGTGACAGATTCAGAGCCCTCAAAGTGTCTCCTGCACCCTTTCACCTTTGTCCTTTGTGCAGGCTCTGAGTCTGTTCCCAGCTAGCTTTGTCCTCTATGATGAATGCAAACCAAGAAAAGTCAACAATGATTCTATGCATCATGGAGACTTGCATGTGTTCTCAGAGGCAAAAGCAAATGTATGTATGAGACATCAGGACAGATTCACATAAACCCCCCCCTTTTCTCAGTAACCTTAAAGGGCTCAAATTACTTTCAAGAGAAGGTTCTAGGAGATCTCCCCCAAACAGACCCTCAGCTCTCTAGGTCAGTCTTCTCCTGATACTCTTTGCCGGTTCCTGACCTCACTTCATACTTTAGCTTGTGCTAACTCTGTAGCTTTCTCTGTGCTGCTCTGCATCACCAGATCCTGCTGCCTTTAGATTCCAGTTCCTGCCCATCCTGACTGCCTGAGATCTCCAGCTTCCAGCACTGGCTTTCAAGGTTGTGCATTCAAAACCTTCCTAATGCTGCATTGTATTTTCATGGTTAAAAAGGGGTTGTGACTCACAGGTTGAGAACTGCTGAGCTAGATTGTAAGCAACCAGAGGGCAGGGGATAGGCCTTTTATTTCTTAGGTAATACCTCTCAATCCCTCACTCAGTGCTAGGTACGTAAAGTGTGCTTAAAATCATTTTCTAGTAGTGCTTTTTTTTTTTGTAAAAATTTGGAATCCAGACTGTAATCTCCCTGTGATCCCTATCTGTTTATATTTGATATAGAGGTCAAAAGTTTATTTACATCTAAATGACAGTTTTAATAAACACAACTTAATATTTGTTCATGTTGATTCAATATTCATTACTTACTTATCTTTCTCATATACTTTTTTTTTTAATGAAACAGTTCAGAAAAGTGACTCAAACAGAAGCCTCCCAGTGGGTTCATGTATTTCCTGAGCCAGTTCTGTCTTTACCATTAGAAAAGACCCAATACCCTGCCAGAAAGCATAGGTGAGAATACACCCACAAGTAAATTGTGTTCTATTTCTTCATTGAATCCTCTGCCCCATTCCAGAAGCCTAGGGATATAGTGGCACATTTTTAAGTGGCATGATATTCATTCAATAAATATTTACTGATGACCTTCCATATACAGGGACTGTTCTAGGTCCTAGGATAGGACAGTACATAAACATTGTAGTGAAATAATAATAATACTGATAGTCATAGTTGCCATTTATTACTTATGTCTGGGACACCCTCCTAAGTACATTACATGAATCATCTCATTGGCTTCTCTTGCAATTATTTTGTGGTAGGTGTTAATATTATCTAGTTTTTCAAATGAGAAAAATGAGACTTAAACAGTTAGTAATTCATGTACTACTATAATAAATGCTGATCAACCAGACTCAGTCTCCCTCCTCTTCCTCCAGTATTTCTCCTTGTGGCTTCACATCTGATCAAAGGATCAGAGAAGTTTGCAGTGACCTGACAAAAAGATCTTATTAAATTAAATTGCTGTAGATTAAAATTATTATGCTATTCTTTAGTTTCTGCTCTGGTAAGAGAGATACTGCAGGTCATCTTGATTATCCTTGGGGAGGTTAACACCTCATTGAAGATGTTCTTAGGAGAGTGGACCATGGAGTTTTGTTGCTGGGAAGATGAAAATTGGGGTGTAATTAGACTGAGCCAAACATCAGGAGCGGTACCCCTGGAAGCCTGATGAGAAACCTGCTTGCCTGAGTTCAGAAACTGAGCAGAGCCCCGGGCAGCCCCAGTTGTCAACAGCGCCACAGTGTGGTAATAAGAAGCAATGGCAGTAAGCCAGCTGAAATTCTAGGTCCTGACCGGGTTGGGTGGAAGTCATAACTTCCTGTTACAACTCCCCTTAGGGACTATGAGTCCCTAGGTCTATCAGAAAATTCAGGTATAAGAGAGAACTCCCAAGGAAAACTGTCAACATCTACTAATTTTTCTCCCTGAGTTTGTGAAGCAATTCACATCACTTAACTATCTTTATATACAGGTCCATAAAATGCAATTACGTATTTTGTTATTTGTTTTGAATTTAAAAAAAAATAGCACATTGTATTATTACTAGGCAACTTACTAGATAAAAGTGTGGTTCTTAAATAGTGAATAGGACCTCTTCCTCCACACATTCACCCTCCACCCCCATGACTGTTGAAAGAATCTAACTGAAGTAACTCATGGCCTGCCTTAAGTAGGTACATGCTATTAGCTGCAGGCATTCTGCCTACCTTTTCAAGGGGTCCTAGCTCTTCTCTGCAAGGAGTACTCCTTGCCCCCAACAGCACCCATTCCTCACTAGCTCTGCCCTACTCTAGTTTTCTGTGCCCTGAGGAGCAGCTGAGTAGATGTTACCTGACGTTCTTCCACAAGCTCTCTTCCTGGTGCAAGCCACACCAGGCTTTCCCTTTTATGTCCATGCTGTGAGCACAGTTGTGCCTGTACAGCTTACTGAGAGTCACTACCATCAAATACTGTGCAAAGAACTTTATAGCTCTCAAATCTGACTTGCAGCAGAGAAGTTGCTGGTGGGGTCTCCCAGGCCTCCTTCCTAATGCCTTGTCGCTTTTATTTGTGCAGCACGTAGTGTTTGCCCATCAGTATTAGCCCCTCATAGCCACATACTGCCAGAGGCTTTCACTGTCCACAGGGCTGGCACATTATCATAACTTGCTCTTGATGGCTTCATATGTGTCACTGGCTAATCCCTGTCCAGGCCTCTCCCCTGAGTGGCTGGTGTTCACCCAGCTCCACCTCCCCTGTTCCCAGCCCTATACTCTGCACGACCAACTGGCATCCTGAAAGCTCTCTTCTCCTAGGGTTCTTCCTGACATTGCCCCGACCCAGGCTGTAAACTGTAAGAGGAAGAGCTATGTTGTACTTCTTTGAAACACAGTATGTTCTCAACAAATATTTGTTGAATGAAGCCCTGGGGAGGTTCATTAGCAGAGGCAGATGTGAATCCGCAACAGACTGGCCTATTTACAGAGCAGACAACATATCTCTACCTTTCTAGCATTTCTCACTGTCTTCACTGGGACAGGGCCAGAGCTGGGAGCCTGAGGTCAGAAATTGGCTGAACATGTCCCTTCCAATAGGGAACCCATGGCTGTGGAGGACACTTTGAGGAAAGCGAGTGCTTCTCTGACCACTCTGGTAGTTCTAACAGTTGATCAGTTCAGGATGGTGCTTTTGGTAGCAAAGTAAGGAGCAGTTAAGATGTGCCCACTGAGTCACATTAGCACTTACTGGAGGATTTAGAATAGGAGTCCAGATGTCCTGGCTCCTCAGCCGTAGATAGCCATCTCTTCTACCTTAGGTTTTGAAAGGTTTCTTGCTTCCAAGAAAGCTATGTGCAGCCTCTTTCACCAAGAGAAAAGCATCATGGAGCTCTGACCTGGGCTGACCACACCAAGCCCTCAAACAGGGTAGAGAAAGGAAGGCTCGTGGGGTTAGGAGCCTGCTGATGCTGGATGCTTTTTCTGGTGCTCTGCTTTCTTATCTCACTAAATCCTCTCATCTGGGAAGAGGTAGGTATCATTGTTCCTATTTTAAAGGAGGAAACTAAGGCGCAGAGAAGCCAAGAGACCTGCTCAGGGTAACATAGCCTGGTTGCAATTTACTGGAGTCTGGATACTCAAGGACCTTCTTAGCTGGGCAGCGGTCCCTTGCTTTTTTTTTTTTTTTTATGTTGTGATTATTACAGGTTCTCCTGGGAGCCAGAGCTGGGTGAGGGGCTTGGTCCTTCTTAATTCCCTGACTATAATCTTGCATTTGCAATACTAGGGAGTCACAGGAGGATGTTCCTAGAATCAGCTACACCCATTCCGGAGGAAGAGTATCATGCCTCTACCTCCCGACCCCCCAGGATGGTGGGAGGAAAACCTCAGAGCACCTCCCCTGCTCAGGAGTC